TTGTACTTCCCCCAATGCTGCAAAAATCATCACCAGAGCTGCCTAGGAGCAAGCAGATAACTTGTAAAGCTGAAGCCACCCAGCAATGTATTGACAGCTACATCTTCAGACCTCAACACACTTCCTCATGGTTGTGGGAGGGAGCATTCTTTCTTCTGAGGTGGCCTGTTTAAAGGTGCTACCCTCCAACAGGAGGACACAACAGCAGAAGAGAAGTCTTGGGAAGTTTTTGAGTTCTAACTGAAGTCCCAACACTGCAATCACTTCCACTGTGCAACCCAATAAATACTGCAGAAAAAGCCTTACAATGCAGAGGACCCTGCTGGAGGGCACACAGCCAACTGCTTAATGCAGAGATGGTTCTTTGTGTGGAAGCAGAGACGGGGACTGCAGCTGGACAGCTGGACACACATATCAGGGCTCATCTAACCATGAGGTATTTTCTAGCACAGTAAGATAGCTGAGGCCCAAGATAATCTTGTCAACCCTGGAAAGTTGCTGGACTTTTTGTCTGTGTTTTCAGTACATTGGGATAATGTTCACTAGCTTAAAATAGCATGTTCTTATCTTAGCTATGAGGAAACAAATGTAATTTTTGGTTTTGAAAATGCATCCAGAATTTGTGCATCAGGTTTTCTATAAACTGCAAGTTGGCATCTTTGTTTCATCACAGTTGCACTCCCTCTTCTGAACCAGCACCACCTTCCATTTCAAAACCTACTCCTTGAGCCTTCTCATATCCCTTCCTCTGGCAGCTGCAGTTGTTCAAAGTCAGCAACTAACCATGATTTTGTGAGGCTGGCCTGTCTCATCCCCTTACTCTTGAAAAGCACCTCCCTTTTTGAGAGTATCACAATGTTACTCTGCTAGTGCTGCATTTATTATCTTCCTAACTTTTGCTCTCAGGCTGGTTTTGCTTGTATTTTAAGTCACTGGCATGTTTCTAGGATAACTGCTGCTTCCATGTATTGTTTTCTTAGGGGTAGTGGGATAGTCAGGCATTGTGCTGACAATCCAGATGAGTGACTCCAAACTGTGCTTTCACCTTGTATAAAAGAGAGCTCCCAGCTGACCAAACTGTAAATGCCAGATTATTTGGGTTCAGTATTCGAAGTCTGGTTGTTATCCTAATCATATTACTGCCATGTGTGTTATTGGCTATGGAGGTCAGTAAGCCTTAACCCTGACGTGTGGATGGGCCAGCTGAGCTTGAGAAATCTTTGATCCCCTGCTCATAGGCTTTTGAGGGAGTGGTGGAGGAAGACTACTATTTAAATAAGTGTTTATTCTATTTGAAGAAGCTGAATTGCACTCTGGGGGTGCAGTATGGTCACTCCCAAAGCTGCAGGCAGAACAAGCTGAGACATCACTTAGTGCTGTATTTTAAGACCTTGTAGCCCAAGATGAGATGCACCCAAATGAAACTGGAAGGACTGAAGCCTGGGGATGGGGCTGAAGGTAAGACTCATATGAAATGCAGTAGGTGCAGGCCATGGTAGTTAATGAGCGCTGTAACCAGCCTTCCCCATCCAGGATAGTCTTTTCCTTCTCCCTGGAAGAAGGATGTTCTTTCCTCAACACCTTACACTACTACGGGTTTTTCATGAGAACAGACAAGTGCTTCCCCTTTTCCCCCCTCAAGATAATACTTTTTTGAAACAAAATAGCAGCAGTTATTTCCATTCCCTGTTGTACACAAACAGGGAAAGAAATGTGATTCTTAAAGTTAGTTTCTACTAGGAGAGAAGTGCCCCATTTGCTTTTAACTTAGTCCTGAATTGCTCTCTAAAAGATTTTGCCAGTGTTACTCACAAAGAGGTTTTGTCATCAGCATCAGACTCCCTCCTGCTTCAGTTTATGTAAGTAACAACATGCCTGGGTCACTTGTCTAGTGCTGGCTGCTGTGCCACCCATTTGAATTTAAAAGCATCTTCTCTGTATTATTAGTTAATGGCTGTTTATGCACAAATAATTCTTCCTCTAAGTAAACTATACCTTTGTTCTCCATAAGTGGACACAAGGAATTAGGCCTGTGCTAGAAGAAGTAGAGGCCTGTTGTCCTCAGTGATATTTTGATCTTGTATTCTTCGTTCACCTCCATCTTCTGCCGCAGCCAGGCTCTGGGCGTCCAGTGTGCCAAGGTAAGAAACGCAGCCTTGGTAAGAAGTAACAGCACTATAGTTCAGGCACTTGTTTCATGGCTTGATAAAACATGACTACCAAAGTAGCTCTTGAAATGAAGGAGAGCTGTTCTGCTTCGCAAGAGCTGGGAAATGGAGGAAACTGCCAATTATGTGGAGGTCTGTGTTTTAGTGCATGCTTGATGTTAATGAATGGTAGGGACATCAGTTGGACTCAAACATCAGTTCTTGAGTCTATTCATAGAATATGCTAAGAGGCCCTGTGAAATGCTGACAGTGTGACCCCAAACCATGGGAAATAAACCTAGTCTCAGATCTTATTGAAGTCTAAAGCAATGCTGACTTCTATTTTTCATTAAGGCTTGTCGATCTCAGCCAGTTCTGCGCACACATACCTAACTGATGAGTTCACACTCCGAGCGACACTCCAGAGCTGTGACCAAATTTTGCTTTGGTTTTTGGACTGCCTGAAGCTTAGAAATGCTGGCCCCAGAATCAGTGTGGTCCTTGCGTTCCTTGTGATGGGCTTTTGCTAGTTTGCAACACAGATTTCCTTCTCGGGTTGTAAAGACTCTCAACCTGTTACTTGGGAAGACCGTAAGAGGAAAAGCCAATGCGATGATCTGTGTGCTCTGTATTCACACCACTTGCTGACTAGCCTCAGGCTTCTTTGTTTCCTTCTCTGCAGGACTAAGTCTATCAGTCTAGAAACCCGCATGGACCCAAAGCAAAAGAAAATGTTCAAGTGAAGCCCAGTCTAAACAGGCTGAAGCCAAATGAGATTTTTTTGCCAGAGATGGTAACAGGGGAAGGTAGCAAGAGGGAGTCGACATTTTGTGTGGTACACACAGCAGCTCACAGAATCAGTCATTTCTTTTGACCACCGTACGAGATAGTTCCTGCTGCTGCCTGACGTGGGGTCATTTACTAGTTTGTCTAATTATCCGAAAAGTAAGGATGCCGTTGGTAAATATTGCTACTCTTGGAACATGAGTTTTTCACTAGAAACCCAAAATTTATGTAATTAATTCTTGTGTCTCCTTTTCTGACATAATGAAAGGCAGAATCAGTCAGCTCCCTGGCAGCTGACTGCTGAAAGCTCAGCCTTGCTTGGTCTGGGGGAAAGAAGCAAACTGGAAAGAAGCAGAAATTTACATGTTTTCCATAAATAAATACATAACTTTTGATCAAAGTGCAATTTGACTTAATACACCTCCACACGTGCTCTCCTGTACAAAGCCAGTACATACATCTGTCTGATATCCAGTTTATTTTTTTCCTCCACAGCTATTTTGTTTAGCTCACAGCTAACCTTTAAAGTTTCAGTTTGATGGTGAGAAGAATGACGAACGTATGATGAACCTGAACGTTAGTTTAAAAAAAATTGATTATACTGCTCAGCTAGTTCCGCATCATTGTTACAGCAGCTGAAGTTTCAGCAAGTTTTAAAATACTGTTAAAAAATAGATCTTTTGCAACTTTTCAGCAGGGTGTCTTAATTGTCTCTTTTGCAAGAAATCTAAACTTGTGTGAAACTGGTCTTTAGGCAGCGTCATTAGACAGCTTTCAAGACAATTCAGTGTTAGTTATATAGGAAGGGTCTCTAATCTTAACTCTGTATGGTGTGAGCCAGGGAGCTCGGGAACGTGAATGAGCCCTACTTCACAGCTTCCAGCTACCTGCAGCCTGTGGAGGAATTAAGTCGACAGATTGTTAGCTAAGTAGCTGAGCAGGTGGAAGAATATTAATCTGAGCAGACATTATGCTGTAGAAATGTACATTTTTCTAATTATTACTAGTAGTAAAAATCGTTATTGCATTTTACGTAACTGAATTATGAATGACCTAAAGTTAGAAACAGTGTAGGTGAGTTGTTAATATCCTCATGCAAATAAAGGTATTGCATGAAGTGCAATGATTGAAAATATAAAAAGAGGAAGTGCTGAAAATGTTGTAGTGTTTCCTGCTGAGGAAGGGAAATTATCTGAGTATGCTTTAACTGCCTGTGTACCGAATTTGAAGGTGTTATGCTGTTAGGAGCCTGTGCCTTTGCTAGTTTGTTTTTTAAGCTGATCAGAGTAATCTTAGCTTAACACAGCCATAACTTTCTGCCTATGAATACAGCAGATTCCTAGCAGCTGCGACCAGAACAGCACATTACAACTCTCTAGACCAAGCCCTCCTTCTCCCGTGCGATGTAGGCCAAGCAGTCCCACACTCTGTAAGAGTACGTGCCCCAGGCTCTGCTCTCCCCAGGTTCCTGGGAGCGAGGGCTCCAGCCTGCTGTCCAGGCTGGTCCTCCTGCAGTCTCTGGCGCCACGTGGGCTCCCACTTGACCACCCTGCGGGTGGGCACCCAAGTGTGGCTGAAAGCTCCTCAGCTGGACACACCAAGGCACACGTACGCTTTAGCTTCACTCGCCAGCAGGCAGCCCAGAGTGCCTGGGGAGCCAGCACCGGCCGTGCCACGCTGCCGGTAAGCTGCGGTTTACTGAGGACAGGAGCGTGCAGGGAAAGCTCCGAGAGCATGGGGCAAGATGTGCTTACACAAGCTCGCAGGCTCGGGTTCACTTGCAGTATTGACATACCCCAAGAGTCTAAAGCGTCGCTGCTGCAGACCTTGGCGGCTGGCAGGAGTGACGAGCCTGGGGAGGTGCTGTGAAAGCTCCTCGGTGGCTGTCAGGTCCGGGGCTGTGCAATCAATCAGGGAAGCCGTCTGGAATGTAGGGCATTGGGACAGCTGCACCAGGCCAGGCGAGGAGCTCAGGAACGCCGCAACGCTTTGAATTTGGAAACCGTGACAGATACTTGTGCTGGCTGGTATCAGGGCCAGGAGGTGGAGCCCAGCTCGCTGGCTGTGTTAAGTGTTACTGAGCGTCGGGGAGGGAGACGAGGTGCATCTGACTATGTGTGAAATTTTGGAGGTGTGACATTGGAGAAGGAAGGGACCAAAGTCATCTTAGACTTGAGAAAGCAGGTAACTTTTAAAAGTTTATCACTTCTAATTTTAGAGTTTTAACTTTAGAAATGCTACTTTAATTTTTCTGCCAATCGATATTGATTTTAAAAGATTTAATTTTCCCATTAAAAAAAGAATGGAGAATTCCAGTGAAACTTCCATTTCCATGATATCTGCCCTGGGGAAAGACAGAAGAGCTTCAGAATTTCATACTCGTTAGTGTATTTCTGTGTTAGAAAAAAGATGACCATTATTAGGTTTATTTAATTTTAAGGAAAAAAATATAAATAATATAAATATAGCAAACATCAAAAGAAATGAGACATGTATTTGCCTTTTTATTGCTTCCTGCCTACAGTAATGACCTGTTCCTCATTTCAGTTCTCCTCCCCTTTTAAAATTACAAAATATTGTCTCCTATACATAAAAATGTTAATAAAAAAGGCCAAGAAAGCCTATCATACCATATGTAATATTTTACATCTTCCATTTTTTCTTCAGGGTTCAGTACCATATTGATGTATGCCAGAAAAGTCTAGTAACCAGCCGTGACATGACAAAACAATCTGTTTATTATCAGAAGTTCACCGACTAACCAATCTTAGTTTTACAATCATTTCTGTCTAATGATACTGCTTATGAATAGATGGGTAAGGAAGGCTTAGGATCAAAGAGTAACCCGCAGATTTCACAATGTTTTCTTGGCAAAACAACATGTTGATTTAGCTACTGCACTGGAATCTGCAAACCTTCATTGTGTTTTTCCTGGGATTACTTTGGCTACCATTTTCTTTCCTGTCTTCATATGACAAATCTTTGTCCAGGACCGGTGATCTGAAGTTGCTTTAGTCTGGCTTAGCATTTTAATAGAGCTGAGAGCTTTCCTTAGAGAATCACACAGCTCTTTTCCATAGGAGTATTTCAGGACCAGAAACAGTCCAATTTTAGACCTCAGAGCAGGTGCTCAAAAGCTTGTTTACAAAGGAGGGGGTGACCAGGGTGTTGATCTGGGCTGGGATTTTGGGTGCCGCTCCAAAGCAGCTGTATCGGCACAGCAGCTGTTTCCACATCCCTCCCCAACCATCCATGCCCGAGGCAGCCACCACTTTTGGACAAGGTAGCAGTATTCAGGCTGGGAATGCTGGGCTGGTGAGTCCCACCAGTGATTTCTGGATAGTAGGGGGCTTTTTTCTGTGCTGCTCTGCTGGGTGCAGGAAGCCTGGGATTTGAGGACAGACTTGCCAGTTGTCCTTCTGGCATCCCATGATTCCTCCATCCTTTGAGAGCCAAGTCCTGGCAGTTAGCTTGGAGAGAAATTGCTTTGCACCACAGTGCCGGTAATGGAGAAGCAGCTGCATGTGTCTTAGAAAACAGGTGCTGTGCCATTCAGCATATCTGGCTGCAAGTAGAGGAGGAAGAAATCATGGAGCTCCTGGTGAACTAACTCTTCCTGGATTAACTTTACCTGATGAAGCTTTGTTGATGACCAAAGTGAAGGGGTAGCCAAAATTCTAAGATGGCAAAAGTAATCTAGAGATTTGCCCAAGCATCACCCCTAAGGCACAGCCACAGCACACCAGTGTGAGGACCTCCTCGGCATGCAGGGTGGCTGGCCCTGCAGCTGGAAGTTTGCTGTCCCACAGTCACTATTAGGGGTAGCAAGGGTATTAGTCCAAGCTAACCAATTTGTAGACTTAGGATCTATTCCTCAGCCTATTGCCAGAGGGGTGTGTACCGCACCAGAAGTAGCTGGTGGCATGGATCTGCAAGCATGGAGGTCACTCGTAGCTTTGCAAGTCTGAGATTCCCAAATCTGGGAGAGTGGCATGCACACGCCAGTTCAAAATAATGTTTATTTGAATCCTGCCTTGTTTTCTGCTTCACTGGCAGACAAAGCTTTTCACGGTCACTTGGGTTGCAGAAAGGATTTATTTAACTTGTGAAACGCCTGAAGGTCTTGGAGATGAAGAGGTGCAATGCTCCTGCCTATTAATTGGTCCTGGCATCGGCAAACGGTTTGAGGAGAGAGCTATTAAGTGTGGCTGAAGGGCAGAGCTGGAGTTCTGCAGTAGGGTGCTCTGTGGCAGCATGGCATAAAGGGAAGGCCTGTGGTGTAGGGATGTGTGAAAAAATACTGTTGTGAGAAAATACTTAATGCCAACAATTGTGGGGCTGTGGTTGGCCTTGAGGTTACGGGGCTGGGTGGGAACATGGTGATAATGCCACATCAGCTCTGAGAACTCTTTTTGTAGGTCCCTACCTCACTCTTTTGCTAGGTTAGTGATTGCACGTGTTGTCTGTCTGCCATTCTGCAAGAACAACTCCCTTGAAGTCTTCACCTTTGTGGCCAACAAGAGCTCAAACAACTTTTATTTCTTTGCTTCTTATTTCTCCCTGAAGAGAAGAACCAGACAAACACCAGCAGACTCTGTCTCTATCTCCCTTGGTTAGGCACTGGTTTCATGGTGTCTCAATACTGTAAGTTCTGTAAAAAAAGAAATAGTTCAGTGTTTATAGCAGCAGTGATGCAATGTTCACTCTTCTCAGCTCTGCAATTACACTCCCATAGTCGTCTCCCAGGCTTGGGAGATGAGAGATACTGGGCAGAAAAATTAGACACACACTTTCTGCACAGGAGCACTATTGGCATGGGCCTTGTTTTGAGGTGCTTGCAGCGGTGAATGGCTACTGGGATGAGCAGGAAGAGAGGGGATTTGCATGGGCTAGGAACGTGGGCTGGCCAAGTGAGGACCGGAGTGTACAAGGGGATATGCAATACTAATTGCAGGGCCGAATCAGTAAACATGTTATGGATGTTTTGCCAGGTGACTTTTGTGCGTAAGTCAAGTACACACACTCTGTAATCCCAGCGTCTCCCCGGCTGAGCAGGAGTGAGCACCGAGCATGCAGGCAGTGGGATGGCACCCAGCCCCAGCACTGGGCACGTGGGGATGAGCACGACGTTTGGCTGTAGAGGATGCCCCATTTCATTCCCCATGACAGGGCCTGCACTCATCCTGCCGCCTCACCGCTGCAGACAGACACCCAGGGAAGCATTGCCAGCCTGAGCAAAGGGTTGGGATGTGCAGCATGCGGGGCCAGAGGAAAGGGGGATCTACACAGTGAGCCAGGAGGCAGTGAAAATGGAAAAGATGAATAGAGGTGTCTGGGGAGAGGGAGTAGTGGTTTGCCAGGGCCCTTCGCTATTCAAGTGCCAGCGCGCCAATCTGTGGTGCAGATGACATTTCCTGGTGCGGCTGCCATTTCAAACAGGTGATGGGAAGAGGAGAGGCTGAAAGGGACCGGTCCTGGAAAAGTGCCTTCCACCCTAAATGCTTGTACCTGATGATTATCCCAGCAGACCAGCTCAAGTCAATGTGACCCACAGGGCTTTTGGCAGGATGATGGTGAAAGTCTGTTCAAAGTCAAGGGAGGGATTTTAGCGAGTTTTGGTGTGTTCTCTGTATTTCTTTGAGAGGTCTTTTATCACGTGAAGAGACTTTGCTGTACTTTCATCCTCATCTAAATCCAGCCTCCTCTTTTTAATGCTATTTCCATACACCTCTTCCTTTTCACTTACTGCACTTTAGCGCTTTTTCCTGGCATGCTCAAAAAGCAAATTCCTCAATAGTTACTGAACTCACTCTTCTGCTCTTCCTCACAAATTTCTATTAACGTCACCTTTCCTTTTGCTCAGTACCAACTATTGTTTGTAATCTTGCTGAATGGCTTCTGTCATTACGTTTTGTGCCTACTTGCGTCAGGATCTGCAATGATGTTGTCACTCAGCAACACCTCTTTCTTTTTGAAGCTTTCTGTCCACTAAAACTTTTTCTAGCAACATCAGAATCTGTTCTCCCTCCTTGTGCTGAAAAGGATTTGTTTCATGTCTGCTCCATTTGTTGCACAGCTCTTCATAATGTTCCTTATGTTGCTTATTCGTTGTCAGTCACTAGCTTGCACTCGTCCTCATCTTAACTCAAGTGTCTAAATTCTCTCTTTTATCCAGTGATACAATCCCCATGTTGCATTGAGGGTTCTTAATGTTATTCACTGTTTAATGTTGCTCTCTTCTCTCTGATCAGCGATGAGGGTAAGGGACAAAGCGCTTGGACTGTCCTCTCCCTTTGTATTCTTCTTCAGCTTCCTGCTCTTGGTTGCTGTGGCTCATCTTCATCTCTTCCTTCATTCAGCTCCAAGCCCTTCCCTAGACTGGTTAGGATAGGTGTCCATTAGCAGTAAATAGCTACTAAAAGAAATCATGGACTTACTTTGTTTTTGTTTTCTGTTTGTATGAACTACTTGAAAACCATCTGGGTTTTGCTTAATTTTAGAAAAATCCAGTAAGGAGTTAAGACGCTCCCCACAGCAGAGGAAAATTCTCAGGAGCATACTGGCACACGACTTCCCAAAATAGTTAATGTCTTTATTTGGAGGAATGCACTGACCCATTTAGGTGGCACACCGCATCATTGAAACATGTCTGAAAAGTGCCCGACAGTGGTGGTATTCAAATTCAACACCACCAGAAAAACACATGAACATCGGTGGATGCATGCCAAAATTTTCACACAGGCTTCTAATTTTAGGTTTTAACCTTTCCAGTGCCCTGAAGATGCCTTCAAAATCTCCAAGATCACTGACCTCTTCAGAAAATATTGGCCTAAATGCTTTACAAGTACTTTATATTGTTAGAAAAGCATTAACAAAGCTTTATAGAAATGAGTAATCTTTAATAATTGGCTTCAGCTTCTCAGGCAGCGTGCAACTGCTTATTTTGAGAGAAATGCTCAGCGCAGCTTGAGAAGGAACAGCCAATCCCCCTGCTAGCAGAGGAATGAAGACCAATACGATGTAGTAGCAACTCAAGTATCCTTAATTTCAGACATCCTCGGTGACGTTGGCTTTCAGAACTGGAAGTGCCTGGATATGACTGCATGCATACACGTGCACATTATGAAACAATTGATTGCTCACTGAGTATTTTTAATTAGTATTTTCCTTTTAAATGCTCCATTTACCCTCTTCACACAAGGTATTTTTGCCATGTGCAGTTTTTATTGGAGTAAACATACTCCCTTCAGACAGCTCCTTCAAGCCAACTCAGAGATATCTTGACCCTCTTTTAATTTTTTTCCTTCCCATGACTCATTCCTTTCATCCCGCTTATGTTTTCTGAAGTGAACTCTACATAATCATATTGACCCCAAGAGTTACAGACTCAAAGGCCTGGGGCAGATGAGAGGATATATCAGATAAGAGATCTATTTTAAGCAAAACATTTTTCTTAGGCCATATACTTTTTAGATTTAATGTCTTTGTAACAAGTAACGCTTCAGGTTATTAATCTTTTTTATATTCAGTGGGTGAAATAAGTTATTGCAACGCAACTATACTATCCAAGGTTGTCATGGTTTAATCTCAGTTGGCAACTAAGCACCACGCAGCCGCTCGCTCACTCCCCCCCGGTGGGATGGGGGAGAGAATCGGAAGGGTAAAAGTGAGAAAAACTCGTGGGTTGAGATAAAGACAGTTTAATAGGTAAAGCAAAAGCCACGCATGCAAGCAAAGCAAAACAAGGAATTCATTCACTGCTTCCCATGGGCAGGCAGGTGCCCAGCCATCTCCAGGAAAGCAGGGCTCCATCACGCGTAACGGTTACTTGGGAAGACAAACGCCATCACTCCAAACGTCCCCCCCCTCTTCCTTCTTCTTCCCCCAGCTTTATATACTGAGCATGACGTCACACGGTATGGAATATCCCTTTGGCCAGTTTGGGTCAGCTGTCCTGGCTGTGCCCCCTTCCCAGCTTCTTGTGCACCTCCAGCCTTCTCAGTCGGTAGAGCATGGAAAACTAAGAAGTCCTTGGCTAGTGTAAACACTACTTAGCAACAACTAAAACATTGGTGCGTTATCAACTTTGTTCTCATCCTAAATCCAAAACACAGCACTGTACCAGCTACTAGGAAGGAAATGAACTCTATCCCTGCCGAAACCAGGACAAAGGTGAACTGTCTATTGATTTTCTCTTTGCTGTTTATGTGTTTTGGGGTCCTTCTTGCTTTTCCAGCCAGAGGATGACAAATTGACTGAATGGTCTCACTTCTAATTAAATCTGTTAAGCAGTTCTGAGTTTTAGCTCGGCAGGAAAATGGTTGAAGGTTTCAATTTTTTAAGATCTTCATGAAAACAATTTACATACCAAAATCAATTGACATTTCCAGTCTATTTTCAGAAATTAGCCTTTTAATTAGTAATTCTAACTGTTTTGCAAAGCTTGAATTTACCTCACCCGGGGAAAAGCGGAGCTCATTTAGCTTATGAAAATCTGAGACTGGTTTGCTCCAGAGACGATCAATCCTGGAGTCTTAAGCAAATGCTGCTCTTCTAATAGTTTCAGTGAAGGAGCACCATCAGCTACTGCAAAGAGCACAAGGCTGCGTACACTTCCTGGGGAGGGCCTAAGGAGGCAAAAGGAGGAATATCCTGAGGTCAGCAGATTGTGTAGGTTCACTAAAAGGTAAAGATGTATTATGCCTGGGATTGATATCTAACATTTAGGAGAGCAAAGTAGGTGGCAGCTAATAGAAGAATTGCTATTTGTTCCTTTCCCTCGGCAGTAAGGCGCAAGAGGTAGAGGTCATCCTTCTAGGAAGGAGAACGCAGCCAGTTACCTGCTTACATCAGCTCCATGGCGTTGCATAAGGCATCATTTAGTCCCTGGTAATGAACTTAATTTAAGCATGCATGTCCCTGCCCTTGCCTCGCTACTCTGCATTATGGACTTGCAAGTTTGCTTATGCTAAAGGGCAGAGCAAAAATAAATTGCCATACTCCCAGGCATGTTCCATCAGCCTGTGTTGGAGCATGGGCCGGTGTCCAAATAGTTTGGATATGAAGTGAATTTGGGCTCCAGGACAGGCTCAGACCTGCTCTTGAAATTGCACGGCGATGACACCAGGGTCCTACTTTTATATTTGCAGTTGACTGGCTGCCACCGCTGCGACCTCCAGCTGCGACAGCAGTGCTTTTCGCGTCCCAGCTGAAAACTAACCTTGCCTTTCTCCGGTTAGCAGGGAAAGGGGCACCCCTTTTTGTGTTACTGTTGACCAGGAACTGGGGAAAAGCTTTGTCGGTTGGAAATTCGATATTAATTAGGTGAAGCTGTAGCTCAGGTAGACAAAAATCCTCTTTTGACTTTTTTGTGTACACTCATCGTTTGTATTTTGGTCGTGCAGGCTGAAATGCTACACAGAGACCTAGTGTTTCAGTCTTTAGACCTTTAGTCTGGGAGATGGCTCTTGTTGAGGGTTTTTGGTTGGGCTCCCCAGAGCTGGCGCAAAGGAGTGTCACCGTGAAAGGTGCCATCCCAATGCACCACTTCCTCCTCACCTTAAACTTTCGCATGCTCACGATGAGGGTCCGGTCAGGAATCCCAGGGTGTATGTATCCCCCCGCGGTCCCAGCAAAGGGAAGGCTAATGGTAGGGGCTCACAGTGACAAAAGCCGCTGGCTTGCAGCGCCGTTGGTGCCGGGGGCTCTCACGTCCCCGGTTCCTCCCGGGGCGCTGCCGCAGACGAAATCTGGCGCCGACCTTGGTTCTTCAGCCGCCCCCGGGCTGGTGCCCCGCCACCCGGCAGCAGGACCGAAGTCTCCGGGCGGCGGCGGGGCG